CGCGCGTCCGTCCGAGCGGCGGCGCCCGGCCGGCTCCCTTAAGCGGAGGCGCCTCCTGTCGCCTCCTCCCCCTCGCCGGTCCCTCCCTCTCCGCTCCGCTCGCTCCGGCGAAGTTTGCACGTCAAGCCCCCGGAGTGGAGCCAGGGCGAAGTCGGAAACGCAGCCACCTATGGAAAGCCGGCCCGGCCGCGGGCAGAGCGGAGCCGAGGGGCCTCCTGGGCCACCGGACCTGGTGCCCGCGCTCTGCTCCCGAGGCTGCACAGTAGCCGAGGGCCGGACTGGGAAGCCACCTCGGCGCAGATGCCGGGCGAGAGCCGAACGGCGGGCAGGTGGAGAAAGCCGCCCAGGTGTTAGCCCAGGTGACTGCATCAAGCCCCTAGTGCACGTGATGCTCCACGTGTACCTCGGTGACCACAACCTTAGTATTTTTTTTAAATTTCATTTCATGTGTGCGAGTGTTATACCTGCATGCGTGTAAGTACACCCCTTCGGTGCAGTGCCTGGGGAGAACAGAAGAGGGCGTCGGATCCCCTGGAGCTGGAGTTACAGACCGCCGTTGTTAGGGGCCATGTGAGTGCTGTGATTCAAACCCGGGTCTTCTGCAAGAACAGCCACTGCTCTTAACAGCTGAGCCATCTCTCCAGCCCCTGTTTTAAATATTCTTTAAAAACTGTGTCTAGCCGGTTGTGGTGACACAGACCTTTGATTCTAGCACTCAAGGGAAAGGCACATGGATCTCTGTGAGATCAAGGCCAGCCTAGCAGCTGTCTCAAAAAGACAAAAAGGAAAAAAAAAGTGTCTATACTGAACATGTACAAATTTTATTCCCTAAATACCATATGACAACTTTCTATAGCATTTACATATTACTAGGTATTGTATGGAATCCTGAAGATTTAATGAATATGGAAAATGTGTGTAGGTTATATGTATATACTGTGCCATTTTATAGAAGACTTGATTGAACGCCTGTAAATTTTGGTACCTGTGAGGGTCCTGGAATCCAATACCAAGGGATGAATGTCACCAAAAAAATGGTTGAAATGGCTGGAAGGCTTTAAATTTCAAAGGATCATTTCTAAGCTGGCATTTCTAAGCCAGGCATTGGGAAAGCAGAAGCAGGTAGAGGATCCCAGTGAGTTTAAGGCCTGGTCTACATAGGGAGTCCCAAGCCTGCCATGGCTACTTAGGGAGACCCTGTCTCAAAAAGCAAAAACAGAATAAGGCCAGGTGTGGTGGTGCACACCTTTAATCCCAGCACTTGGGAGGCAGAGGCAGGCGGATCTTTGTGAGTTCAAGGCCAGCCTGATCTATACAGTGACTTCCAGGACAACTGGGGCCATAAGGAGACCCTGTCTCAAAAAGCAAAAACAGAATAAAAGTATCAATGAGAAAAATACATGGTTAGAACATATATTCCCTTGGCAATACAGTTGCCAACTCTTAACAAAGCTTGTGTCTCTGATGCAAATTTTCAATTTTCACTCATTCTGAACCACTGAAACATTTACATAAATGTTGCCCTACATTCAAGTATATACAATTTATTATTTTGAATTCAGAGTAATTGGAAAGGTGGTAGATAAATGATCTTCTCCTTTCTTGTATGGAGATAATGCATCGCACTGAGATGACTTCCAGCCAGTGGGAACAGTATAACAATTTATGATCCTTCAACTTCTGGCCTATTTTCTACTTGACAATTCTTTGGTTTATAAGGTTTTTAACTGATAAAGCAGAACAGAGCTTAAAATTAAAAGTACTGGATCTCTTAACATCATGTAGCTATTAAGAATAACTATTAATAATAGCCATCAATTACTGAGCTATAGGTACAAGGAATATGCCGAGGTGCTTTACTGCACTGCATCAGTATTCATAATTAGATAAGCTCAAAGTTGTATTTACAACAGACAGATAAGGAAAAGGTAGGGCTCTGGAGCCAGTCTTATTGCCTGCTTCAGATATTAGCTCTTCTACTTAACAAAATATGGAACCTTGAGCAAGTTACCTAGGTTGCCAGTGCCTCCGTTTTCTAGTCTGTGAAGTGGAGATAAGGCCAGGCTTCTGAGGATCACAGTAAAAGATCCTTTGAAAGTACTTAGTACCAAGCTTAAAACAAACAGTAAAAATAAGTGACTTACATCAAACTGAGCAGTTCAGTTCAATCCTTATCTAAGAAGTAAGAGGATATGGAGACCGACTAATGACAAGCAGTTCTTGCATTTCCCACCAAATCCTTTTCCTGCAGCCAGTGCATTTCACCACACTTTGTCATCACCCCTCAAAAAGTCCTAATGCTTTCTGGAAAAGACAGATTCTGTTATGACCCGTAGTTGTTTTGAGTTTCCTTATTAATGATCTGAAAGAATTACCAATGAAAGTAAAACTGAAAGCTCAAAGTGCATCTGATATTCAAATTTTGGCAATATTTTTAAAGTAGTCCTTAGATGAAGAACACAGTTTATAAACAAGAATACAACAGAAAACCAAATACTTAAGTTTTTCTTGCCAGGAAAGAAACTGACCACCTTGTCTGTAAATATACCACCTTCCATCTCAAAAATATATAGAGTGGCTCACTTAATTTACACTCATTTGACACACTGTTGTCACATGATAGTGTTTTTTGCACAGAATTGAATACTTCCTCCAGTACTTTAGTATCTGTTCTTGAAATGATACAGACTTTGTAAGGTTTGAACCAGGAGGATTCAGTTTGTCAAGCAGTTCCTGTATGCCTCCTGTACCTTAAGCACTCTGCTAGGCATCAGAGTGGAAAAAAGGGGTCATTTATGATAGAAGAAAATTAAGCATTTATCAAAATGCCTATGTTAAAAGCTGTCCCTATCAGAATTTATGTTGCTTAAAAACAAAGCTGTCAGAAAAGAAATGCTGCCAAATTATGACCATTTCATCTCTTCCAAGGATGCATTTAAAATAGTCTCTTACTTCACCATTCAAATTTAGGGAAGTTCCCAGGAGGTACCAGAGGGAACAACCGATCTTTTCTACATCAAAAGATTGTATGCACAGCATATTCACCTGCAACACACTTTGCTCAAAGTGTCATAATGCACAATAAAATGCAGTTAATCTTTTAAGTTTTTACATCCAGTTTAATGTAAAAAGGCTGAGCCCGGTCAAAACTTTTCTGAGATTCAAGAGTCCATATAAGTCTTTGCAGCTGGGGGAAAATATCAGTCCAAATACAACATTTTAATAAACTTGGAAACTAGTAATAAAAATATATGTATGCATGTAAATTACAGAATTGGTAACAAAGGTTCTCCATTATTAGCTCCAAAGCACTGATGTAGTTTTAGTAACAAACTCAGATTCCCTGAATTAGGAATTTGTTGGCTGATGTCACAAAGATCCCCCTGCACCTGCCTCCTAAGTGCTGGGATCAAAGGCATGCACCACCATGCCTAGCACTTTTTTTCCCTTATTCCACTAAAATTTGCATAACTTTGGTCCACATCCTCTCTTCCTCCTCCAACACTACCTTTCCCTTTCCCTTCTTTCTGGTACAGAGGGTCAGGGCTCTATTTTTTACGAGGAGTATCTCACGCCTTTCCTTAACTGCTCCTCTAGTGAAACACCTTACAGCTTGTCATGAATACATCAGTATCACAGTAGAGAGAGAACAGTAGAAGGATAAATTAAATTCATCATCTTAGTAGCCGGAATTGCTGACAATACAGTGCAAAATGAGAAATAATAAGGACAGTTCCAACAGTGGTAACTTAAAGATAATTATCTCTTTGAAGACTTAACCTGTATACATACTCATTCTACAAAATGCATTATCTACTAAGCAGTTCAAAGCCCTGAATTTTTAGTAGTGACCTGAAGTATAATATCAACCTTGATTTGAAATCTTTATTGAAAGTCTCTACGTAATTTTTTAAAAAGGGTTTAAGTTATTTTAAAAAATGGGAAAACTAAACCAACATTCAGCTATAAAAAGAGGCCAACTATATAGTTTTTAGTGCACTGCCTCAGATGCAATAAAATGCAAAGATTAAACACACTGTTAAAGATAATTCCCCATGTCACCTTTGTACTGAGGAAGCTTTCACTGAACTGACTGTAAATATTACCATCTTAAAGGCCCAGCAGTTAAGAACACCACCACTGTTTAGCTGCATCACGGAGGAAATCACTTCACCTCTCTGGAATTGTTTTTTCATTTACAAAAGGACTAGAACAAAAGCAGGCACTTGGAGCAGTAGGAATTAGTAGTGGCAGGGTGCATTAGGGCACACCTTTGATCCCAGTACTCTAGAGGCAGAGGCAGGTCGATCTTTGTGCAATCAAAGCCAGCCTGGTCTACATAGTGAGTTCCAGGCTAGCTGAGGCTACAGGGACATCCTGTCTCCAAAATAAATAAATAAATTAGATAGATAGATAGATAGATAGATAGATAGATAGATAGATAAAATAGTGCAAAAGCAAACCATGCTAGCTGTTGCTATGACCAATGCTACCTCTGTTACACAGTAAGCCCCAATTTTATTCTGTCCACATAACACTTTAAGATGGTCTTGCTGAAGCACTTTATTTACATCAGTCCTTGCTCTCAAACTTGGAGGGGCTCCCCCACAGACCACTGAAATAGATAAAAACATACCTCTTAGCATTCAAAGGC